TGATCCGTCGTGGGGGTGGGGGGGGGGGAAAGCTTGCTGGGCTATGTGGATGGCCGTGCGGGCGGCTAGGAGCCAGCCTTGGGCTTCTGAGACGGAGGGGCAATGCAGGGCGAAGGATTTCGTGGGGGACAAGATATCCAAAGCCCGAGGGTCTTCCCGGGAGGCTCGGGCTTGACAATGCCTTAAGAGGAGGACACGGTTCAAGCGATAGCGACCCTCCCCCCTTCCCCCTTGCCCAAGCGGGACGGCGTAGGCGAGGCAGTTGTCAAACAACCAGAACTGAAACTCCTTGTTGTGGTGCCGACACGCTTTGTAAAGCCTCCCTGTTTTTAAAAGCTTCCGTTCACTCGAGATCAAATTGGCCCATATTTCCTGCCCCCGGTCGTCCCCGCCTTTCATTGCCAGGACCGAGGCTTTAATTCGCTGAATTTGGTGATACATCCGGGTATCCTCCTGTGTCTGCTGCATCCGGGCTAAGGTAGCCTCGACCAAGGTGACGGCGGAGGAGATGGACTGAGATGAGGCGAGGTAAAGAAGAGGAAATCAATGTCAGTGCCTTTGTTTCAAAGGACTTTTGGGCCGGAGCAAGAGAAAAACGAGAGAATCAAATGATACACACACATGTATGCGCGCCTATGCATACGCGTGCTTGATTCGACAGGATTCATATATACACATCCACACATTTATATATATACATATATATATATAGCATAACTCGAAAGAATAGCATCACACCCCGCTGGTTTGCTCCCCAGATGCACCCACTTCCCCCCCTTTTCCCCACTTTACCCCACTTTTTCCCCAATTCCCCCTCCCCATTTACCTCATAATCCGGATGCTGCCGGGGTGTTTCATCCAACAACGCCTGCAATTGCACGGAATACCGGTGCATGGCGTCAAACGGCGCGTGCAAGTGCTGCGACAACGTTAACGGCAAGAGGCGCCCGCTGACGGCCTCCTTAAATTCGGCGAATTCTTTCCGTCCCAGCACGGACGTAACCTCCTCCCAGACGGCAGCGTAGGCATTGTAGGTACTCATCAAAGCCTTCAGCCCCAGGAAAATTCCACCCACGCACAAGACGGGCCCGCCCTCCGCTTCCGACTGGCGGGAGCGGGGTTCCTGGTTTTCAATTTGAATTTGAATTTGAACCGCCGTTGGATTGGCCCCCTCCCCCGGAGGGATCAGGGCCCGACGGAGCCCTTTTTCCAAT